ATTTTGCTGGCGAAGGCATGGGCGCTCCCACGCCCTGGTTTGGGGGGGATACTCTCGCCCCCCACCAGACACACTGTCCAGCTCCAGCCGCACGAAGCCCCTCATCCACCTCCCACAGGCCAGTAGCTAGTTTTGGGGACACCATTCCCACCCCGTGGCTAGAGGTTAAAGCCCCCCCCCTCCCCGCTCCAGGGAGTGACACAAATCCCCTGACACACGAGGCTCTCACCAGTGGCTGGCACTTGGTCCTTGCAGCTCACGCTCAGGATGCAGAGTGAAACGACACAGAGAAATAGTTAAGAAAACATTTAATAAGAAAACATAAAAAGATGGAACAGGCCGTGGTGACCAGGCACAGGGCTCAGCTGTGGTTTATACCTGAGTGTCCCCTTTTATAGCCCCTTCTGCCCCCCCACTTTGTTCCTCCTGGTTCCCCTTCCCGTCCCCACGGGTCCATTCCCGCACCCCTCCCTGCCCGTGTCCGGGGTCCCACCGGTTCACCTGCTCAGCAGCGCTCTGCTATCCAGGTGTTCACGAGAAGGAGTAAATATAAAGTAGCACCTCAGGCAGCAATCTCATTTCCACCCCACAAAGCCACAGAGCATGTGGTGGGGACCATTTCACTCAGCATTCCCTGGAACCTCCTTTGAGCTTCAGAAGCTGCTGTCTCCACTTTGGCAGGTCTGAATTTCACCCAAGCTTGACCCAAAATGTCTCTTCTTAGATACTAGACACCAGAGCTGACTGCTCCTGCCTTGACTGGTGTGAAGGCATCCACATGATCCAGAAAGGAACTGACTTTATGAATGAGAAGGATGTGATTTAAAAATAATCTGCTGGCTTTCTTTTGAATGTAAAGCGTCTGCTATTGAGTCAGACTTTCCCTGAAGATATGTGAACCCGTATCTCTTATCTTTGCTATTTTTTGTGGCTTCTTCACCCAGCTGCTGCTGGGGTCAGGATGCTTGTTTGCTTTTTCAATGAGATTTGGTCATTTGGGTAAACTAGACTGGAAGGAAACGAGGGGAAGGTTTGGTGTTGATATGGGTTCACATCAACACCTACAACTTGCCGTGGCTAGCACAGGAGAGCAAGTCTTTGCAGACAGCTCTGCACGGTAAAGTAGCTCTGCTCTTCCAGCCACAAGAGGTGCCATGGACACTGAGGATGGGGGGTGAGCTGGAGGTACCTGTTGTGATGGGAGCTCCTCTGCTAGCAGCTGCCTGGAGCTTCTGGAGAGGCAGAGGCCCTGTCTCAGGGAGGCAGACGGGTCCGAGGTATTGGCACTGGATTGGGAGCCAAGGTCTCTTGTTCCAGCAGCTTCTCACCAGTGGCCAACATGACAGTGGTTGTCCACTGCAGGCAACCGAGTCAGCCAAGCAAGGTAGCCCTTAGACCAGGCGGTTCAGGAGGCTTTCTGCTGCTTTGCACCGTGGATTTTGCATTGAAAAGTCAGGATTCAGGTGCTGGTAAACCTGACTGCCCTTCTGTTGTTCCCGTAGGCTGAGCCATGGGAGCAAAAGCAGTTTGCTGTTCCAGGCCTAGCTGGACTTCTCCAGGTCTGTGATGAGGTAGGGGTCTTTCATCCGGAGGATCTGGTAGAGCTGCTCCTGCGCCTCCAGCCCTTTCTTCTCAGCTAGCTCCAGCAAAACTTGGTTCTTCCTTTGGCTCGTATTTTGACCTTGCACCTCCTCTTCTTCATCGCTGTTGATGACGTTTGCATCCCGTAAGTGTAGCAGAATGGTGGAGAGCTGCCTCATCCTGGAGCAAAGCTCAGTCTTGTGCTGCTTCATGAAGGCTGCACCTAGCAGACACCAAGCCCACGTTACTGTGCTGCACGTGGCCAGGCAACCGCAGGTGAGTACCATGTGAGTACCATGCTGCGGTACGTGGCATCCTAAGCCAGCGGACACCACAGCTGTGCACCGTCCCACAGCCACGTGTCTCCATCCCTCCACCAAGAAGGATGGGCACCTGCTGCACCAGCGGTGGGAGCGCTGAGGCAGGCAAGGAAGGGGGTGGGAACGTCAAGTCAGAGCTGGGGGAGGTGAGGTGGGTGGCAGCCCCCATCAGCTGCTGGCAACTGTCCCCTCTGGGATGCCTACAGTGTCTGGGCATGAAGTTACCGTCCTGCCCCCACCCTGCAAGGTGAGGAGCTCCTAACTCAGATCACAGGTCTGAAATCTCGCAGAATTGCAAGCGGTTTGTAAAGAAACAGAGATTGGAAAGGAGCCGACGCCAGTGGGGTGCTGAGCAAGCCATGGTCAGTGCAGTGGGCAGCGCTGCCCGGCTTCTCCTCCCAAGCCTCCACCCAGTCCTCCTCTGTGAGGCTGAAGTGCGCACCCATACGGGCATCTCCTTGTAGAATCACAGCCTGGTTTGGGTGGGCAGGGACCTCACAGCCCATCTGGTCCCACCCCTGCCATGGGCAGGGACACCCTCCACTAGCCCAGGTTGCCCAAAGCCCCATCTAACCTGGCCTTCAACACTGCCAGGGAGCCAGGGGCAGCCACAGCTTCTCTGGGCAACCTGTGCCAGGGCCTCAGCACCCTCACAGGGAAGGATTTCTTCCTTATGTCCAATCTAAACCTGCCCTCTTTCAGTTTAAAATTGTTGTCCCTTGTCCTGTCTTTGCTCTTGTCTGCCACCCTACTCTCCTGGTGCTCTTGGGCAGGTTGTAGGCCAGTGTGGTGACTCCATGTGCATGGCAGGGAAAAAGAATAACACCGAAATGTCCAAATTTGTGTCTATCTGAGCCAGGCCTATCTGCCTCAGCCAGTGGCTTAGCTGCCTGGGTGTCCTCTTCAATCTGGCCTTTCATTAGTAAGACGAGATACGAGAGGTAATGATGAAGTATTGTGGCCCTGGAGAAATTAGGTGGGGATAATAGCTGGAAGGCTGCTGAGCAGTATGTTGTTGTCACTGTGACTGAAGCAAGTGGAAAGCAAAGCCTCTTGGTCAGAAACTCCTGGAGCTGCCATCAAGGTGGACCTGCCGTCCCCTCTGCCCATGCCTGTTGTGGGCTCCTGCCCAGGGACGTCACTCCCGTGGAGAACGCTGCTGTTTGGCACAGGGGCTGTCAGCCCCCGAGCTGGCCATGTGGGACGCAGCAGCTGTACCACTTACTAGAACTCCAGTGAAATATTATTTACAGACCATGAACTGTACTAGCTGCAGCTCATTCTCTGTAACAACAGCATCTCTGTCCCCAGAGAGGGCAAACCAGTTTGGAGGGTCACCTGCACTATGCCACCATACCCACCAGCACGGCACAGGGAATGCTGCCAGCAAGGCACGAATAAAAGCTGAGGTTGCAGCTTTCAAGGCTTTTTGTCCAGAAACTATCATAAGGATGGGAAAAGAGACTGATGTCTGCTTTAAACCAGAGGATGGTGAGCTCCAAAGAAACAGATTCAGACTCTAGAGATGCAGCTCTGAAACACAGTACTGACCTGACAAGGTCTTGGAGACACAGGCAGGAAGATTAATATCACCTGAAAGAGAAAGGAGAGGCATCACTGAATATGCCGTCACTGAAATGATGGTGCCTGATCCTCCACGACATCCTCCTGAGGCGCCTAATCCCCACCAAGCCATTAGCCATTCCTCCTACTGATCCTGCCCATCTGTGGAGAACCCAACAAAAGCTCCTGGGCTCTGCACGGCTGTAGGTGTTACTTTTAGGAGGTGCAGGATTAGACTAACAGAGAAGGGGTCTGAAGGCACGCTGAGCAGCACCATACCCTGCGCCTGTGAGATGCTGCTGCCTGCAGTTCCTCTGCCAAGCTTTCCCACAGGGGAGCCCATGGGTGGGTATTGCTACGTGAAGTTGATGGCATGTGCGGTGGCTGCTGAGCTGACCTGGCAGCAGCTGGGCAGAGAGGTGTGGAGATTAGGAACCTGCTGCTCCAGAGCTGGGTACACTTCTGTCCTCCCAGAGGACACACGAACACGAGTCTTGGCACTCGCCATCGCTAACCCTGCTCCTTCTGCCTCCATCATCTGCTGTCCTGACCGAAGTTCTGCATGGGACCCAAGTCAACCCTAAAGCAGAACAGCTGTAAGCGACAGTCTCTTGATGCCACCAGAGTGCAGTCCCCACACCATCACCAGGCGTGCTGCATGCCACGTTCGTGATGCTGCTGCGAGCAGAGACGCATGGTGAAGGCAGGCTCTGGTCCATCTGGCATTGCCCCAATCCTTTGCGCTCTGGGTGCTGTTTCACACCCTGGTGTCTCACCCAGCAAATGTGGAGTAGTGGTGCTGGCCGGAACATGTAGTTTTTTAAGATGCTGATTTTCACTAAAATTTGGGTATTCTCCTTACTTCCTCTGCATTGCACACTGGTTGCGCTAGCACGTCCGTGGGTGTTCGTTACACTATCGGACTTTTAAAACTAAGTCAGATTTCTATGCAAACAGTAGCCAAGAGAACAGAGAGACGCCGATAGCTCTGTCACGCTCTCTTAAACCCCAGCATCTGAAAATCCATATTAAATCTGAACCTCTGGTCTACTGACACTGGGGAATCCTTTCGGGTCTCTATTCTTCAGTGGCCAATTGCTGCATACGCAGGGTTTGCTTTCCCTGCAGGACGCGTGGATGACTGTGACCACAAAATGCCTGAGGTCTCCTTGGGTGGTGTGCCTCAGCTTTTGCTAGGGCGAACGAGCCCCTAGAAGGACCTGCTGCTCCTACCTGACCTCAGTGATGCCCTCCAGACCACAGTGTTATTGCGTGTGTCCGTCATAAGAAGCCCAATTTCCTCTGCCATGTTCCTGATGTAGATCTCGACAAAGAGCTGCTGTTCCTTTGGACTCTTGTAGCAAAATGGCAAGTGTGGCTGTAAAGGTAAGAAGCAAGCTGAGTCCCTGTCACCATGGGGAGCTGCAGTGAATTCACGTACATCATCCTATATTTCCCAGCCATACCAGCAAGAGGAAAGACAAGGGAGGATGCACATGTCAGGGCTTTTCTGTGCTGCCAGTATCACCAATTTTGGTTGGAAGTGACCCCTGGAATGTCTTGTCTGACCTACCTCTCAAAGATGGACCAATGTCAAGTCTAGATCTGCTCAGCTGGGGCTTTGTCTAGTTGAGTACCAAAAACCTCAAAGAACAGAGATTTACCACCTTCTAACCTTCTCTGATGGCTGCGGCTCCACCAAGTGATAAAATTTTTCCTAACATTTGGCCTGAACTTCCCAGGTTGCAGCCTATGGCTTTTACCACTTTTACCTGACACTGCCAAGAGCTTGGCTCTGTCATCTTTACCACTGGTCTTCAAGGCAGAGTGCCCTGGTCATTCCAGGAAGTGGGAAAACCAAACCCTACCTTGTAATTCATGGGTTTAAGACTGTCTCTGAATTAAGTTGAAGGCCCCAGCTGTTGGAGCTACACGCAGCTCAGTACCAGAGTTGTAGCTGCAAGGGGGGGGTGTTGAATAAGGGGGAAGGGAGGGGTGCCATTCAGAGGAACCTGGAAAGGCTGGAGAACTTAGCTGGCAGGAAGCTCATGCAATTTGGCGAAGGCAAACGTAGGAGTCCTTCATCTGGGACGGAATAGTCCCACAGCAGACAGGAGCCTGGGCACAGGGTGGACACAGAAAGCAGCTTCACCGTGAAGGACTCCGGAGTCCTGGCTGACGTGCAAGTTGCGCAGGAGCGAGCAGTGTGCTCGCTCGAATACAGCCACATCCCAGGCTGTATTCGCAAGACCACAGCCAGCACAGTGAGGTCAGGGATTCCTTCCCTCTGTTCAGCACCTGTGAGATCACACTTGGGCACTGGGTCCAGTTTGGGGTTTCCCAATACAAGACAGACATGGACGTACTGGAGCAAGGCCAGCTCCAGGCTGGAGTGCGCGATATGCAAGCAGAGGCAGGGGGAATTGGGTTTGTTTGACATGGAGAAGAGAAAGTCATGGGGAGAACTAATAACTGTCTTTAACTATGTGAAGGACGACTAAAGAAAAGACAGAGCAAGCCTCCTGAGGTGCGCAGTGATGAGAGGAGAGGCAACAGGCACAGGCTGCAGCAAGGGAAACTCCGGTGAGATAATAGGGGAAAAAATCACAATGACTAGAGACCCAGAGAAGCTGTGGTATCTCCATCCTTGGAGATATTCAACCTTGACCGGACATGGCCTTGAGCACCTTGATGTAACTTTAAAACTCACATGCTTTGAGCAAGAGGTTGGACCGGAGACCTCCTGAGGTCCCATCCAGCCTCAGTTTCTCTGATTGCCTTTTCATGGTTATGGTGCAGCACAGACCTATGAAAGGAGATTTTCATAACCAGCCATGAATGTGCCATTGGACTGTCATCAGCTGCTCTCAGGATATCACAAAGTCCTGTGTAAAACAAGTAACCACAAGGACTAAATGGCCAAATCTTCCCCGATTTTCCCAGCCATTGTAATCTGATTGCCACAGGGCATGGTGCTCAAAATCAGAAATCCTCAAATGGAGTTTCAGTAGAGAAAGAAGTCATGTCACATCATGGCACAGAGACAAAGTCTCTCTCCAGACCTACTCCTAAGCTGAAGGAAACTCACTGCAAGGTGAAGGTGAAGATGAAGGACTTGGGACCACAGGTGAGTCAACACCTCTGAAATTCCTTCTTGATATGCAGCTATGGTAAGTCCAACAAGTCCCACACTGTGATTTCTGCCATAAGGAAAGACAAACGCAGCCCCTTTGGGGGTTTGGGGTGTGCTCCGTGCTCCTTCTGGGGATGTGTATCATGAAATACCCTTGGTACCTATAACCACTACAGCTCCCTGCACCTCTGGCTCTGTGACCTAGTAAGATGGATTCTTAGCAGAATATGGCTGAAAACAGGGACTTCTTGTACTTTCTATTTAACTGGGGGGGGGAATAAAAAAGGGAACAATCCCACTTACTTCAGGTGTTATCACCACAAAATTTGTACTGGTCACCCGGTAAACACGGCCAAAGAACAGAGGGTTGAATGGAGGAGGCTTGGGAATAAGCTTTGAATTCCAATTCATTTCTTGTCTTTCAATGGCCTGCAAACATCAAGCATCACTTTTGAGAGAGGAAAAAAAAAAAAAGAGCTGTGAACTGGAGGTAGCCCTCAGAAAGTCAAGAAGAGAAGAGATCAACTGATGGACCCGGTCAGACCAGACGCTGAACACGTGTTGCAGGCGGTGCTGTGCTTCAGGGGCCAGGCAGCACCCGCTGTGCAGGCAGGAACACGGGCAGGGTGATGCACTGTCACTCTGCACAAGAGGGTAAGGGCTTGCACGCCACAAGAGAGCGGCATGCAGCTGCCTATTGCTGTTCCTGGCAGCGGCCAGCAAGTCCCACATCTGCTCCGCGTAGCAGAGCGTCTCATGCCACAGTTTCACGTGTGCTAGGACACGCTGTCCTAGCTGAAAGCACGGAGAGCGATTCCTGGAGGCATCTGTGAAAGAGGAGAGCGAGGGAGGCAGGAGCAAGGATGCTGTCCTGTGGTGGGAGATGGGGGCACAGGACTGGGTGTGAATCAGAGGCTGGTGGCAGCAAAACTGGGAGGCATCTCTGCTTATCAAATCCAGTCCCTGCTACTGCGGCCACCCCAGATGTCATACTCTTTTAACCTGGCTGAGCAACCTCTGTCTTACCTGCTTCACAGAGTTGTCATCTGGGATCAGGTAGAGGTGAAGAGTCGTGCTTGCAGCACTGAGCTGCTGGAAGATGAGCACCAAGGAGTGCATAGGGAATGAATTTAGGGTTGAACGTAACCTCCTCCAAAGCACCCCAAGTAGTGAGAAGCTGGGATTCTCCAGGACAGCAGAGAAAGCAACCAGTCTGGTCGGTCTCTCCAGGGTCATCTTCCCAGATTTAAAATGGGCAATGGAACACAGGCTGGTATTTACGTCTTCTGCAAGACAGGTAACAAGTTCTGTTTAGTCGTCCTGGCACCCTCTCAGGCTGCCTCCTTCTCTTTAAGGCTTTAGCAGCAGCAGGAGACATGTGCCCACACACGATGACATGCTCTGCTTTGGGTGCCATGCATGCCCTGGGTGTCAGGGATTCGGCAGGGACGACCTTTGGCAGTCTTCCTGCGGGCGCAGAAAACTGCAAATCTGAAGGTGGCAGCTTGGGACCATGAGAACTGTCAGACTGCACCCGTGCAGCGTCCTGCGTACAAGCACCACACCACCACGTACTGGGGAGGGAGATGGTCGCTGCGTGACAAGTCACTCTGGTTTTTGATCAGCCTGAACATCCGGAGGTGACATCCTGGGATGACTGGGTCAGAGAGCTCTGCTGATGCCCAGTCACCCAGCCTATCTCTGGAGCAGACTTTGCTATTAACCTGACAGATTAATCCAATTGCAACGTTTTGCTTAGCACAGCCGTGTCAGTGAAGAGTACGTAGAACCACTTTTTGGATGACACAGCTGTGCTTGCCAGGTCCTGGGTAGGAAATAGAGCCACGCAACAAGAAACTCCTTTGACAGTGTGCTCTGTTCCGAGGGGACACAGACCTGCCAGGAAGTCCCTCGGCCAGCGCACCCAGTGCCTGTGTCAGGGCCCCCGAGCATGGGGGACTGGGACTCCCCTGATGCTCTCCAGCCCAGCTGCGGGTGCTGATGCTCCTTCCCCGCTCATTAACAGCAGCTCGTTAAGAGCACTGCAGGGCAGAGGACCCAGATCCAAGCCTTGCAGCTCCTCATGTTGCCTGGGTGAAAATGGGCAATTTCATTGCACTTACTGTTCTGCCCAGGCCAGCTCTGACTTATCGCATCCCACCTTGGGGAAGTCCAGCCTGTGGGTAGGTGCAGCTGGCCGGCTCCCGTCCCAGTGGAGCAGAGCAGGGACGGTCATTGCCATCCACAGCTGCCATAGATGCAAAGAGCCGCAATCCTCCCCGGGGCTGATGTGCAGCTGGGCTGGGGTTAGTGCCTGGGGTCATCACGGTGGCTGGGAGGAGAGGGTGGGCGAGGAGGTGCTGGTGGTGTGGAGCGGGAGCTGGGGGAGGGACCACTGTGAAGGCTTGACAGAAAGTGAGAGAAGGATGAAGGATGCCAAAGCAAAGCAGAGGAATACAAGGGAGCACAGGGGACCTTGGAGGGAAGGGACCATTCGGCTCTGTCTGGGGAGAGGTTTCCAAGGAGTCAGAGATGCCCCTGGGTAGGGACAGGCTGAGGGATGGTGGCTTGGGACCCAGGTCCCTGCGGCTGCTCTACCTGCCAGGCAGATGAAGTGGGGGAGATGCACCGCCTGCACGATGCCGGGCTGCGCCTCGATGCGGAAGAGGGGTCCGGCGGGCGCCCACAGTTCCTGGTCAGCCTTGCTCAGGTGCTTGGTCCAGGTCCCGTATCTGTAGGTGATGGTCACTGCCGACCTCACCTCGAAGCTGAGGCCTGTGATGGAGCACTGGAAGACGCCTGCACCAGGGAGGTGAGCTCTGCAGGTGGGAGGGACGACAGGCTCGTGCCACCTGGGACGGGGCTTTTGGAATGTGCTCCCGCTTCGCCCGACAGCTCTTACCGGTACGTGGTGTGGTACTTAAAAGTGTCTTGGGTTATCTCCGGCGTCACTTCTGGAAGATTCTGCAACACAAGCGTGGCCCAGTTTGGGACTGAGTGGGGTGTTGCGCACTGGGAGCTGCTCGCAGGAGGCGTGCTGGGATTTACGGTGAAGCGCAATGCAGCTTGGCGTGAGAGCTCAGCACCTCGCAAGCAGCAGCAGGGGATCAGCAACTGCTGCCTGTGCCCAGAAAGGCATCACTCTCATCAGTGAGGAGGTCAGAAAAATCATTGACTGGCAACTCCTCTGCCCTCGGATCTGAAATAAGCACTGGCGATGTCTGAGGCTCATGACCCCTTTAATGCAGATCCCCGTAGTAGTGCCCAAGAGAAATCCTGCATGCAGGCACAGCAAGGAGGACTGAACTCTTAGCCCCACTTGGTTAGATGCCACTAGGGTGTGGAAG